CATTTATTAATGAGGTCTTTTTCCTCTTCTTTTGTTATTCTAGAATTTATATGAAAGTATTAAGAATGAGCCGTTTAAAATTCCAGAGGATGATGGAAATGATCTAACGCATACATTTTTTAATCCAGATAGAGAAGGTTGGCTGCTGAAATTAGGTTAGTTATAAAGGCAGTTTTGCTGGTGTATTTTGTATTTGATTGTTGTTAGCATGTTTGCAGCTTCCGTGTCTCTGCTTTCTTGTGAAGGTAATAAGATGAATTGTGTCATTTGTATTTAAACATGTATGAATTGAATTAAGTAACTCCTTTACATGTGAAGGTAGTTACTTCATATCTTGCATATTCAAATTATCAGTCTTGTTTGAAAGTTTGGAGTTTTATTTCTGATACATGAGAAATAAAAACTCGGCAACAAAAGGAAAGACTACCTGCTATTTACCATGTGATGTGACTGATAAATACAACGAAGCCTCCAGAAGGTCATTTCAGAAAACTGTGTGATGTTTCAACTCAGTTTTCTGTGTACAAAAAACAGATTTCTCTTCAAATAGTTATTTTTGTATGTCTTTATTTTTCCATATTATTTGTGAGTTTCTCTTGGTTTGGTTTTGGCTATGATTTTTTGATGAGTGGTTTAAATGTGCCTTCTTGTTTTCCTTATGGCCTATGACCTATCACCTTTCTGTTCTGTGACTGGCTGTCTCTGCTTATTCTGCATTAGGAGGTACGTATCTGATTGCTTTCCAGTCCCCTCTTCTTCAGTTGCTCATTCTTTTATTTTCTTTCTCCTGCCTTCTGTGTTTTTTTTTTCTTTTTTTTTTTTTTTACTTACTTTTTTTTTAAAATCAAATTTATTGTAGCATTTTGCTTTTTCACTCAGTATCACTAACAGATTCATCAGTGGTACTCTGAAAGACTACCATCTCAGTGTCTAGCACGTGTGCAGGTGTGTGCTGCAAGAGAAGAATGTGTTTACATGTAAAGCAGAAAAATAAAGATGACTATTCAGCATATTCTTCTGATTCAATGAAGAACATAACAAGGGAAGAAAAATAGCCAGTGAAAGAAAGCAACATCTTACTCTTACGATGTACTGGACCGATTTTCTTACTTATGTATATATTATATCAAGTTATTGAAAGATTGGTTACACTTGGAACATTTATAAAAACTGTCCTTTTTGCTGTTTATTTTCCTTTGTAAATAATATATTTAGCTTCCTTAACAGAATCTTAAATAAGCACTGTATTTAGGGTTGCAGAAACCTCTGATAATATGCAGTCTTCTGGCACTGCAAGTTACCCTTATTTACAGACTCTTTTAAAGTTGTCAGGATTCACCTTCTCACTTGGCCTTAGAAATTTTTTTTTTCCCTATATGAAGGAGACTGAAGTTTTATTTTAACGTTTATTTTTCCATGAAATAAACCTCTTTTATATAAATCACTACACACTCCAGTAGAGCCAGCTGTTGGCCTCTTTAGTTTATAACTGCTTGTTAAAGTAGAAGGAACTTTGCACATGGAGAATGGTGACTGAAGTGTGAAAAGGGATGTGAGCTAGGGTGTGCACATGGCAGTGAGATGGTGAAAGTAGAGCCTGGTAAGAGCCATGGGCCCACTCTACTCATTGCACCTGGAAATTAGTGGTCATGCTGGTGCTGGGAGGAAATAGGTGTGAGAAGGAAGCATTTGGAATTCATTCACATGCTCTCCAGTGTCTTATTTTGACCTCTATAGCATCTGTGCAGAGAGCTCTTTCTAACTACTAAAAAGCAAAGCTCTTGCTTTTTGGAGTGCATTGGCTCAGCTGGCACAATTTCAAAGGTGACTTCGCAGTTTTTCTTCATTTTATAGCATGTAGTGATAGCTATCTCAACAGAAACAGAAAAGGCTTTCAAGATGGTGTAGATGAAATGTGCTTTCTGGAGAAGAGGCTGGGTACAAGCCCCTGCTGTGCATGCTTCTCTTTCTGTTGCCCGTGTGCTCCCATGTGCTTTGTACACATCCTGAGTGTGCAGACAAGAGTGTGAGTGTGTGCAGAGGAGTGACAGCGTCCCTTGTGGAAGAAATTGTAAATAAAAGACATAGAACTGATAAAAAAATAGAGAAACTAATAACAAATAGAGAAATGGAAGAAGAAGGGTGACTGAAAATCAGTGAGAGCTGCCAGGTACTTCTGCATAATCCTTCTCTGGCCCTGGCGCAAAGCTGGCAACCCAAACTTTTCATTACATGCGACACAGATGAGAGACAGTGCTCAGAAAACCCAGCAGTGACTCTGTGAAACAGAAGAGTGTTGCATGTTACACTCCCACAGCCTGAGGGTTGTTTGAATAAAGAAATTACATGTGTCCAGAAGCCTCTGGTGAGTCGGTCTGGGAATGTGTGAAGCTGCATTTCTGTGACAAACTGTGGGATTTTTTCAGCAGACAGGGCCTGGTACAAAGACATTTTGCTAGTTTAGATTCACTGACCGGAAATAAACCTGGCAATTATTTTTTTCTCCTGTCTCCTTCCTCTCCCTTGAGTTTCCTGTTTTCTCAGAGGCTTAAAATGTATGTTGAGAGTGCTGTTTTGATCCACAGTTTGCAGTTTTACAGCCTCTTGTGTTGGGAGACATTTCTTGTGAAATGTGTAAGTTTTCGTTCAGTTCTGGAAGATGCTGATATTAGGACTTTCAGTGTTAATGAAATACTAAGGAGACTATTCCTGTGTGAGCGTTTCTGTGGTCAGTGGTGATAATACTGAAAAATTTAAGTAGAAAATTTTAAATAAAACTTTAAGTGTAACTAAGACAATTTGCAAACCCTGAGTATATGAAGACAGTATTTTGTATTTGATACTTCTTATAATCAGGTCTTCCTATTTACCTACTTGTGCCCCTCTTTTTAGTATTCAGCTCACTGTATTGATTATGGTCTGGACTGGAGGTGGATATTGTGAAACTTTCATATATTGTAAAATTATTCTGTCCTAAAGACCACCCTAGCTCTCTAGCCTGGCACTGAGTTTTAGAAAGCTAGGAGGGTGCAAAATGCTTTTTGAGAGTTTCCTGCTCCGAATTGTTCAGAGGTGACTTTGTACAAGTCCGAGTGCCAAACCTGGCAGCCAGAGAGCAAGTGTGGTTTTATCTCTCTAGCTTCAGCAGGTGCCTTTATATCGACATCTTTATCTTGGTAAACCTAAGTTATCATTCAGTTCTATATTGTTGGATTCCATAAGGGAAATAAAACTATCATTACGCAATATGAAAATTAATGCTACAAGTAAAAAAGGGAAAGCTGCTGAGTGCTAACAAATCCTTGCTTAGAGCAGCTCAAGACATTATGAACTTTTAGATTTTTCTGCGGCTTAATTATTAATGGTATTGGTGCCATGAAATTTTCTGCCTCCTTCTTTAGGTATTTTGACATTGACATCCGTTCAGTCTTGTGCCCGAGTTACAATTGCTTTGCACAGGGAGGCATTTCTTTGCCTTAAAACAGCTTCTCTTGGCAAATAGCTCGGTTTGTGTAATACTTTCTTCTAGTTAGAGAAGAACTGTGACATTATTTCACCAAACTGGAGAGAAGGTGATTCAAGCCAAATACGTGATTATGTTAATTTTTTTCTGCAAGTCAAGCAGTTACTGAGATTTTGGAGATTGTCCAGAAGCTTTACATCCAGACCTGTCCCACCAGTGGCACAAACTCCAGCACATCTGCCCTTGAGAGAATGTCCTTTCTCTTTCCTAAGCTGGGAAGAGAGAACAGTGTTTGATCAGGAAACTGGTGCCTTCCAGTACCTGCCTGTCTCTTGTGGTAGCTGATGCTCTTCTGGGTTGTGGCAGTTAATGTTATGGTCAAGGGAAACTTTTTTCAAAGAAACCCAGTCTTTAATACAGTTATCTGTATAACTGTGGTTCCTGAATCCATTTCATATAGTAGTATCTAAACTGAGAAGAAAAAAAAAAAACCTTCTTGATGTGTGTGTCACTCCTTCCCCTCTAAAACTATATATAAATGTGCTGAATATTTGGGTAGAATTTTCTAACTTAAGATACATTGCTGCCTGTAGTCTTCAGGCCTTTTTTAAAATTTGAAATTAATGTTTCCTAAGTCATTGCCAGTTGTTTTTCCCTTTAGTATAGGTAGTTTCTTTCACTTTGTTCTATTCTTGTTTGTACTTTGCCTGGAGTTGAAAAAAAATAATGCCATGTTGGATTACATAAGTGAGGAAGGTTTCTGTTCTTCTTCCTTTCTGTTCCTCTTCTGCCTTGTTGTGTCCTTTTCTTGTAGTTTCCTTAGATTTCCACCTACAAGACACCATGGTTCTTTTGTTGTTTGCAATGTTTGTAAATGTTTATGGATTCATACTCTGAAGGAGTATCCTCTCCTGCTAACTTAATTACTTCCAGTTTTAATCTTAGAGAGGCTGAGAGCTGGAATAAAATGGATATAGTACTAAACCCTTTGTTATTGTTTTGTGAGCCTACAGCGGTCTTGGCCAAGGAAAAGAATGTTCTGTTATCACGAGCTCTTACCCATTCATCTTGCATGCAGTGTTAGGGGTCACAAAGCCTTATCGACCAGCTTCTTGGGGTGTAGGCCATTGTGAAGGCATATGAAGTGCATATTATATAGTGACCCCTGCAGAGCCCCGAGTACAGATAGGTTGCCTTTCAGGCCTTATTTGTGCTGTTGATAGCTGCAACTAAGTAATGGGGTGGGGAGACAGGGACTTATATATGAGAATAGTTCCTTATCTCACAAAAAAAAATCCTGCCTTGCTGCTTTTTTTCTGGAAGAGAAATGTAACTCAGACTGGTGGAGCAGGAACTTAGGGTCTATTTCTGTGACTCACATGAGTGTTGTAAGTCACTATCGGCTGTTTTAGGGAGAAGGGAGCAGTAGGAGGGACATTGTTGAAAGTATTTAATCTTTCTGGCTTCAACATCAGTACTGTCCTGGAGCTGGGAAATGTTTCATGACAAAAGCATCCTCAAAACTGCAGCGTGATTACAGAAGGTTTCATGTTTGAGAAATCTGTCTTTTCCAAAGACAGGCTGTGTTCTCAGGAAGAACTTCACCAAACTCAACCGATACTTACTACTTGGCACTTCATACTGTTCTAGGGGATGTGTTTTTTAAGTCTGTTGTTTCTGCCTTAAATTCTAAGCAGACCTTCTTTTAAATAGATGGTTATTACTTCATTATTTTTTACTTGTTTTTTAACATGATATCACAGTTTATGAGAAACATCTTTGTTCAATTTAAGCTTCCTCTCTGATTGTAATCTCTTTGCCTGTTTGTTTCATCCTCTCCTG